TGGGAGACCTGGAAGAAGTTCCTAGCTTTTGGCTATGGATTGGCTCAGCATTGGCCCAGCATTGGCCATTCAAGGAGTGAACTAGTGGATGGAAGACCTCTCTCTAACTGCCCTTCTCTCTGTAAAATCTGCCTTTCAAATAGAAGAAATAAAACTTTTTAAATAACAAATAAAAATAAATCAAAGGCAAAGTTCCAGAGAGAAAAGAAAAGGCAGAGATATTTCCTCTGCTACAGGTGGAAGCTTAACTCTCAATGCTATGGCACCGGAACCAGCCCCTTAACTTATTTCTTAATCTTCATGCATTTTTGGTAGTTTATAAACCAGGTCCAAGCCAGTGCATTGGCTCAACTGGCTAATGCTTCTCTTGCATGTGCCAGCATCCCATATGGGCACCAGCTTGTATTCTGGGTTTTCCACTACTCGTCCAGATTCTGCCTGTGGTCTGGAAGAGCAGCCGAGGATGGCCCAAAGCCTTGGGACCCTGTGTGTAGGCTGGAGACCCAGAGGAAGTTCTGGGCTCCTGATTTTGGTTTGGCTTAGCTCCAGCCATTACTGCCACCTGGGGAGTGAACCAGTGAATGAAAGATCTTTTCTGTTTCTCCTTCTCTCTGTAAATCTGCCTTTCCAATAAAAAGAAAATTTTTTAAAAAAGGAATCAGGTCAGGCCGGCGCGATAGTGTAGCAGTTAAGGTTCTCGCCTTGCACACACCGGGATCCCATATGGATGCCAGTTCTAATCCCGGGAGCTCCACTTCCCATCCAGCTCCTTGCTTGTGGCCTGGGAAAGCAGTTTAGGACGGCCCAAAGCCTAGGGACCCTGCATCCATGTGGGAGACCCCGAGGAAGCTCCTGGCTTTGGATTGGATCAGCTCCAGCCGTTGCGACCGCTTGGGGAGTGAACCATTAGATGGAAGATCTTCCTTTCTGTCTCTCCTCTCTGTATATCCGCCTTTCCAATAAAATTCTTCTTCTTCTTCTTTTTTTTTTTTAAGGAATCAGGTCTAGAATTTTGGCTGGTGGTCATTTTTCCAAGAATATACCTAATGATAATTCATATTTCCTAGATATCACACTTGGTTAAGATGATGATTGTCAAACATCAGAAAATTGTATGTTAAAAGTCATAGAACAGAGCCAGGCACAGTGGCCTAGCGGCTAAAGTCCTCGCCTTGAACGTGCTGGGATCCCATATGGGCACCCGGTTCTAATCCTGGCTGCTCCACTTCCCATCCAGCTCCCTGCTTGTGGCCTGGGAAAGCAGTTGAGGACAGCCCAAAGCTTTGGGACCCTGCACCTGTGTGGGAGACCTGGAGGAAATTCCTGGCTCCTGGCTTTGGATCAGCACAGCACCGGCCGTTGGGGCCACTTGAGGAGTGAATTATTGGATGGAAGATCTTCCTCTCTGTTTCTCCTCCTCTCTGTATATGTGACTTTGTAATAAAAATAAATAAATCTTTTTTAAAAAGTCATAGAACAGTTTTTTTTTTTTAGTTTCTTACATGGTCAAACATATACTCAACTATTCAAGCCAGCAATATTCTGCACCTAAGTATTTTCTCAAGAGAAATGAACACTTGTGTTTGTGCAGACACTCATTCAAGAGTACATAGCAGCTCTATTTTAATTGCCCATCGCTGGAAACAATGCAAATGTCCTGCAAGTAGTGAATGGATAGAGACTACTAAATCCTCACACTGGAATCCTACTCAGCAACAGAAAGGAACAAAAACTGATACAAACACATGATGATTTACAGGCATTATGGCAAGTGCAAGAAGCCGATTCAAAGTGCGGTATTCTGGGGCCAGCACAGTGGCTCACATGCTAGCATCAGGAGTCTATATTAGTACTGGTTCATGTCGCAGCTGCCCTGCTTCCTGACCCAGCTCCATGCTTGTTGCTTCAGTGAACAGAAGAGGATAGTTCAAAACCTTGGGATCCTGTAGCCGTGTGGGAGACCCAGAGGAGGCTCCTGGCTTCAGGTCAGCTTAGCTCTGGCCATTGAGCAAATTTGGGGAGTGAAATAGCAAATGGAAGATCTGTCTTTCCTTTCCTTTGTAAATATGCCTTTTTTTTAAAAAAAAAAAGATTTATTTAATTTTATTACAAAGATATACACAGAGGAGGAAAGATAGAGAGGAAGATCTTCCGTCTGATGATTCACTCCCCAAGTGACCACAACGGCCGGAGCTATGCCAATCTGGAGCCAGAAGCCAGGAACTTCCTCTAGGTCTCCCAAGCGGGTGCAGGGTCCCAAAGCATTGGGCCGTCCTCAACTGCTTTCCCAGGCCACAAGCAGGGAGCTGGACGGGAAGTGGAGCTCTCTGGATTAGAACCCGGTGCCCATATGAGATCCCGGTGCGTTCAAGGCAAGGACTTTAACCACTAGGCCACTGTGCCTGGCCCAATATGCCTTTCAAATAAAAATAAATATATTTTTAAAAGTGTTTGATTCCATGGAAATGTCATTCTATGAAAGCAAATCCCTTAAGAAAATAAACCCTAAACCAAAATACTGTATGTAAATAACAGAGAAAGTCTCCAAAGAGGAATGGTGGGCAGAGTATTGCATTGGAATACAAGTGCCATTGTAAACCATGAGTGAATTCAAAGAGGTGGAGATGAGGGGCAACTGTCAAAGGCAAAATACAAAAAGTTGGGCTTGGTGCAATAACCAAGTAGTGAAAGTCAACATCTTGCAACTGCCTTGATCCCATATGAGTGCTGGTTTGAGTCCCCGCTGCTCCACTTCCCATCCAGCTCCCTGCTTGTGGCCTGAGAAAGCAGTAGAGGACAGCCCAAAGCCTTGGAATCCTGCACCTGTGTGGGAGACCCAGAAGAAGCGCCTGGCTTTGGACTGACTCAGCCTGAGCTGTTGTGGCTACTCGGGGAGTGAACCAGCTATATTTCTAGTGATATGCTTCACTCTAAGGTCTATTTTATCCGAAACTTACATAACTACTCCAGCTTTCATTTCCTTATGAAGTACCTCTGTAAACATTTTTATAAATCCCTCCTTGTCAGCAGCATATAGTTGGATTTTAAATAATTATGTTTTTTAAATACAATTATTTTTTAAGCAGAAGAAATATTGTCATTTTAATTTATAATGAAAGTAGTACATTTCTCCAGCATTCAGGGGAGCTGGGTTCCAGGCTCTACCCACAATTGTGTGATTCTGAACTTCTCAAACACTTTAAATTTCAGGAGAGTCGTGATCAAAAGCAAGCACTAAATCATAATATCATAACTATACCTTCTAGCTCATTTACTCTGTATTTCATTAAGTTACAATAATGTGGGAAACAGATTGGGAGCTTTAAAGATAGATCTAAATTAAAAACAAAACCTTAGTGTTTTTGAGGATGATAATTTGAACACTACAGATATTTTGTTTTCAGGCTATTTGCTTTTTTCATATAAAAAAACTTTCATTTTCCATTCAATCTACAGTAGTTTTATAGTTTATGTTAGTTTATGTACACAGTGCAATTTAAGCAAAAAATTAGGCCCATCTTTTGGTCCATTTCCCATATGCCCACAGCGGAGTGGCTAGGGTTGTTGGAGATTGAAGCCAAGGACCAGGAACCCCATCTGGGTTTCCCACATGGGTGGCAGGGGCCCAGGCATTGCCATCACTGCCGCCTCCTCAAGTGTACCTTAGCAGGAAGCTGGAATTGAGAACACAGCTGGGATTCAAACCACGCAGGGTAATGTGGAATACACGTTCTTCAACCTCAACTGCTGTGCAAATGCTCATTTCAAGTATATTCTCTCTCTCTCTCTTTTTTTTTTTCAAGATTTATTTATTTTCATTGGGAAGGCAGCTCAGATTTACGGAGAGACCGATCTTCCATCTGCTGGTTCACTCCCCAAGTAGCTACAACTACCGCTCGATCTGAAGCCAGGAGCCTCCTCCAGGGTCCCAAGGCTTTGGGTCATCGCCTGCTTTCCCAGGGCACAGGCAGGGAGCTGGATGGGAAGTGCAGCAGCTGAATATAAACCGGTGTCCACATGGGATCCTGCCTCATGGGAGGTCAGGATTTTGCCCCCAGGACTCAATTCTGTCTTTTATCCTGTTGATCAGAAACTCCCTTTTCTTTCGTAGCAATCCTGTCTCCAGGAGGATACAGCCCTTAGGTCTACCTTGATTTGCTTAGGTTATTTTCAGTTCACGCCCCTTCCCCTGCTCCCAGCAGTTAGGATAGGTCAACGCCCTAGGCAGTCTTTACCTGAGCCATTCCCTAGAAAGATGCAGGAGGTGGGAGGGTGGAACATAAACTCAATTTTCTTTTTTAAAAATAATCTGTTCACTCCCCGCTTCCCCCTCACAATTTCTCTTGAGAATTCACTGGCACCTGTGGCTGCCGAAACGAAACTATGCAAACTTACTAACTTCCCCGAGGCATTCCTGCTGGTTTTCCAGGCGGGGAAAATCTGACGCACCCTGAAGGGAACCCTGGGGGTTGGCAAGTTTTGTGACGTACCGTAAACGAACAATCCTCGGTGAAACCCTATTGTGCGCCCACAGTAGGTTGGCTAAGCTCATCTTGGCTAAGCCTGTGAGTTCAGATGTTAGCCGCCTCAGCGACAAGAGGTAGGATTTGAACTAGTGGTCATCAGTGGGTGGGTCTGGCTTGGATATAACAGCTTGTGAAGGAGACGTGCGCAGCGGGACCGACCACGTTCCGAGAGGGAAGCGTCCCTCGAAAGAACTATCGGAATCCGAACCGCCGGTCCCGGAGCCCGGCGAGCAGCGCAAGCCGCCAGCAGGCAGCGAGCGAGCATCGCAGCCTCTCCGCGGCCGGGCAGCCCACGGCGCGCTCGGGAGGGGTGCGGGGCGGCGCGCGTGCGCGGGCCGCGGGGGGCGGGCGCCCGGAGGGGGCGGAGCCTGGGGCAGGCAGCGAGCCTGCGCGAGTCAGGCGGCGAGGTGGGGGAGGGCGGGCCGTGTGTGTCTGTGTTGTTGTTCGGCGGCGACGGCGGCGGCGGCGGCGGCAGCGGCAGCGGCGGCGGTAAGATGGCTGCCCACGGGGGCTCCGCGGCGTCCTCGGCGCTGAAGGGGTTAATTCAGCAGTTCACCGCCATCACCGGTAAGAGCCGCGGTTACCGGAAGGTGGAGGGTGTCTGTGTGTCGAAGGGGGTCCTGAGCGGGGCAGCGGGGCTGTCCGGGCTTCCCCGCCTCCCCCTTTACCTTCACGCGTCCCCTCCTCAGGCTTCACCCGCGGCTCGCGTCCTCCCTCCGGAGGAAGAGGCGACGACGGCGGCGGCGCGGTCTCGGGGTTCAGGCGGGAGGCAGCCCTCCGCCTACCCCGCGCTCCCCTTAGCCTCCTCCTCGATCCCCTGGCCGCGTGGAGGCACAGCCCCCCTCTGCACCCCTGTACCTCCAGCCTGCCTAGACCAGGGGATGGGTCGGGCCCTCCGCCCTCGCCGGCCGGGTGGGGGGGGACCGCACTCGGGCCACCGCCCTCCTCCTCCATCATCATCTCTTCCGTGTGCAGACTTGGGGTGCAGTGCGTCTCCTCACCTCTTATTTCCTTTCTTCCCCGGCCGGGTCACCCCCCGCCCCACACCTCCTGGCGCTGGCCCGTCCTTCCCTTCAGTGGGCCCCTTGGAGCCATCGCGGTGGCCCTGGCGTGTGCCTGGGGCCCTCCCGCCTTTAACGGCGAAGCTCGGGGAAGGTTCGGCTGCGCCTTTACCCATGGGGGGGGCAGGCCTCCAGAAACTGGGGGGGGGGGTGCCGAAGAGCACCTTAGAGACCGAAGCTTGGAGAGAATGGGAAGGGGGAGCCCGAAGGCCTGCGTAGCGTTACCCACCTCCCCATAATAAAACCATCCAGATTGAGAGACCATGGCGCCGGGGCCTCCCGCCGAGAAAATAGGGAAGGCGGCAGAAACTTCTTGGGGGACAAAATTGCCTCTGGGTGTTTAGTATTCACCCCCCCCCCCAACCTGAGGCTTGGGTTTTTCTTCGGACCTTTCGAAGGGCACTGGCTGAGTTACCGCCTTGGAGGAAAGGCCCAGAGCCATTCTGAGAATTCTGTCTTGTTTCTTTCTCCTGGTGTTCAACTTTTTTTGCATGAGTTATTAGAGGGCGGAGCAAATGATGAAGTTCTCTGTGGAGGGATTTGAGAGACTAGGACTCCATGTGCCTGAGTGAAATTTTGCAGTTCTGGTTGGTCATTTTGGAGGAAGATGAGAATGCTAGTTCCTTTTCTTAACAAAGCTGTATTTCATATCTGGGAGTGGTTTGCCAGAATAGTTGCACTGGGTTATGGTGCGGCACTCAGAGTATGCCGAGGTCAGTTTTTAGGTTGTTTTAAATACTGTAGGTTTATTTAAGTGGCTGTTCCGAAGTGGTTTTATTTAACTTCTTTGCTCTGCGTTGGGAAGTAGGTGTGTTTGGTTCATTGTTGTCTGGTTTGTGGCATGAAGCATGAGATCAAATGGTAAAATGAAATTTGTAATGAAATTGGCAGCGCGGAGATGGCATGATAATTTGTATCATTAAACATGTTTATTAAAGATACAGTAGACACAATTGATTTACCAGTGCCTAACCAGATTGGTTAGGAATTTATTTTGTGGGCCCGGCATGGTAGACTAGTGGTGGCTAAAGTCTCGCTTTGCACTCAAATGGAATCCCGGTTAAGGGCCCGGCGGCGTGGCCTAGCGGCGAAAGCCCTCGCCTTGAACGCGCCGGGATCCCATGTGCGCCGGTTCTAATCCCGGCAGCTCCACTTCCCATCCAACTCCCTGCTTGTGGCCTGGGAAAGCAGTTGAGGACAGCCCAAGACTTTGGGATCCTGTACCCGTGTGGGATACCCAGAAGAAGTTCCTGGATCCTGGCTTTGGATCGGCATAGCATTGGCAGTCGCGCTGACTTGGGGAGTGAATCATTGCACGGAAGATCTTCCTCTCTGTCTCTCTTCCTCTCTGTATATCTGACTTTCCAATAAATAAATACTTTTAAAAAAATGGAATCCCGGTGAGATCTAGGTGAAGACTTTAATCACTACACTATCGTGCCGGGCCCAAATCTGACTTTCTAATAAAAATAGATGTTAAAGGAAAAAAAAAGGAAAATTGGGCCCAGCGCGGAGATCTGGCAACTGAAGTCCTTCCTTACCTTGCACTCGCTGGAATCCAACATGGCCGCTGTTTGGCGCACAGAGGCACCCCCGCTTCCTGTCTAGCTCACTGCTCCTGGACCTTGCCTCCACATGGGAGACCGGAAGAAGCCCCAGGCTCCTGGCTTCCGATTGGCTGAGCTCCTGCCTTTGCAGCAGCTTGGGGAGTAAATTGTCGAGCGGAAGATCTTCCTCTCTGCCTCTCCTTTCTGTATATGTTACATTGTACAGATTTTTTTTGTAGCATTGAAAAGCATATTTTTGCATGTAATCTTTATAAAAGTGGTTTGGAATGCCACGTAATTGCAGTTTTTTATGTGACACTTAAGGTTGAAATTTAATTTTTAAATTATTTTTTAAAGATTTATTTTATTGAAAAGGCAGATGTACAGAGAGGAGAAGAAACAGAGGAAAATCTTCCGTCTGATGATTCTCTCCCCAAGTGGCCCCAACGGCCGGTGCTGCGCCGATCCTAAGCCAGGAGCCAGGAACTTCTTTCTGGGTTTCCACAGGGGTGCAGGGTCCCAAGGCTTTTGGCCGTCCTCAACTGCTTTCCCACGCCACAAGCAGGGAGCTGGATGGGAAATGGAGCCGTCTCTATTAGAACCGGCAACCATCATGGTATCCCGGCGCGTGCAAGGCGAGGACCTTAATCATTACGCTATTGTGCTCGACCCTAGGTTAAATTTTTTAAAATTTACTTTCGGGGCCCGGAGCGGTGGCGCAGTGGTTAAGGTCCTCGCCTTGCACACGCCCGGGATCCCATATGGGCACCGGTTCTATCCTGGCAGCCCCGCTTCCCTTCCAGCTCCCTGCCTGTGGCCTGGGAAAGCAGTCAAGGACGGCCCAAAGCTTTGGGACCCTGCACCCATGTGGGAGACCCGGAAGAGGCTCCTGGCTTCGGATAGGCAAAGCATCGGCCGTTGCGCTCACTTGGGGAGTGAATCATCGGACGGAAGATCTTCCTCTCTGTTTCTCCTTTCTGTATATCTGCCTTTCCAATAAAAAAATAATAAAAATAAATCTTTAAAAAAAATTTACTTTCGTTTTAGTTAAAAGGCAGAGAGGTGGATATCTTCTATCCATCTTCTGGTTCGCAGTTAGCTGGGGTTGATTGGGCCAGACTGAACGAGGAGCCAGGAGCTCTCCCTCTTGGTCTCTCCAGAAGATAGTAGCAACCTAAGTTCTTGAGCTCTAACCTGTTGCTAGGTGGGGCTCACATTAGCTGGAAGCTGTTACAAAGTGAGCTGGGACTGTAACCAAGGTCTGTGATACTGGATGGGAGCATCCCAAACCATGTCTTAAACTACTCTTCTAAATGTTCACCCTGCTTTGTTTCTTGTACCTTTTTTCTGTTTTTTTTTTTTTTTTGTGTGTGTGTGGGGGGGGAATAAATGGAATCACTAATTGCCATGGATCTGCTTTTAGTGGGATAGTTTTTTTCCTGGTTCCAGGGCTCTGTATTGCTGGCTCTGATTAATGACCCCTAGTGACCACTCTTATCTGATTAGCTCTCCCTAGTTTCTGCTAGTCTATGGAAGGGTAAATACTTTGCACTGTTCTTGCTGTATTGTGAATTTCTGTTGATAATTTTTGGGTCTATTTTTATAAGATGGTGATTAACCATTAAAATGCATGATCCATTTAAGCAAGAGTTGGGGAACTGTTTTCTCTGTCAAGAGCCATTTAGATATTTATAATATCATTTGCAAACCATACAAAATTATCAATTTAAAAATTATCTCTGCTATAGATTAATTGAATTTCAAATGTCACTGTTTCCTTGGCAGGGTCAGGATAAATGATTTCTGTCACTAGATGGTCTGCCGATGAACATTGCTTGCCACTACATTAAGCATTTGTTTGTATACCTTATTTATTTTTATTGGAAAGGCTGATATAGAGAGAGGAGGAGAGACAGAGGAAGATCTTCCATCTGATGGTTTATATCCAAGCGGCTGCAACAGCTGTAGCTGAGCCAATTTGAAGCCAGGAACCAGGAGCCAGGAGCCAGGAGCCAGGAGCTTCTTATGGGTCTCCCACACGGGTGAAGGGTCCCAAGGCTTTTGGTCGTCCTCCTCTGCTTTCCCAGGCCACAAGCAGGGAGCTGGATGGGAAGTAAGTCAGGCGGGATTAGAAGCAGCTCCCATGTGGTGGGTGGGAAACTGGGTGGGGCTTCTCCCTCAATATCCCCCTTTATCTCAGATACATGAAGAAAACAATATGGAAATAATAGTCTTACCCACTTTCCTATAGCCCTTGAACCTTTTTACCCTAATTAACTATGTAAAGATTGTCAAAAATATAATAAAAAATCGGAAGAAAAAAAATAGAACCGGCTCCCATTTGGGATTCCAGCACATTCAAGGTGAGGACTTTAGCCGCTAGGCCATTGCACTGGGCCCTGAAATGGCTGACTTTTAATAAAACTATTCAAAATATTGTGTCAAAAAAAAAAAAGATTGTGTCACAATGTGAAGTAGTTTGGAAGAAGTGGAGAAAGCTGTATTTTCACTTTGACAACAGACTTTATGTTACATATTATCTTCCAGTTCTTGTTTATTTGAAAGCAGAGTATAGTAGAGACAGAGGAAGACTCTTCCATCCTTTGGTTCATTCCCTGGTGGTCACAGTGTCCCCGACTGGGCCAGGCTAAAGTCAGGAACCAAACTCTCCATCTTTGAGTCTCCTGCATGGGTGACAGACTCAGGTACTGAGCCATCATTAGCTGCTTCCCAGGCACACCAGCAGGAAGGTGGGTTAGAAGAGTACTTCGCTGGCGCTTAACTGGCACTCTCATAGGGGGTGTTGGTGTCCCAAGCAGTGACTTAATTTGCTGTGTCATCATGCCTGCCCACATATGTGTACCTATTGTGGGTTATGTTATACATAACATAAAATCCTCTAGTTTTCACCTTACATGATTGTTTCTTCTGTGATCAAGCTGATAAGCAACAACCAGGA